ACCCCAGATATGTGATTTTACCAACAATCGGGAAGTTACCGGTTAAAAAACAGTTTGGCACATTTTTAATAATTCATGGGTTTAATTGGGAGATTATTGAGTTGGTGAGTTTAATTGACATTTTCTTGATAGTAGGGGAACCTATTCGACACTTTTCCCTCATAAAAATGATACAAACCCCAGTAGTCAACATTCTCCATCATCAAATGAAGGTTATGATCAGTGTGAGACTAAAAGGAAAACCAACACAAATTATATGGACGAAAAGAAAAATAGAAAATTTGTAAGGAGGTAAGCCAAAAAATATTTAAAATCTTATAAACTCCAATGAAAGTTAGGGCTTTTTGGGTATGAAAAAAATGTTGGTGGAATCTCAAAGAAATAAATAGTGATACACTACCTTATACATGTTGTACTCTCTTACTGTTATATCGTGTTTTCCGGTGACTCCGTTAAAAATTTTAAACTTACTCCGTTTTGCCGTTCCGTCACTCTCAATTAAGCAAACCTTGGCTTCATTATGTACACATGAGTCACTTGACACATCCTCTAATAAATTACTACGTGTCATTTACTATGGTAATTATAATTTCCACAATGAAAGTTTCATTTTTACAGATCAAATCATCATTATGGATTAGGATCCAGGAGCACTATCTATTTTGAATTTATTGGTTTGATTAAGTTATTTGACATGATCAATTTAGGTTAGGGAAAACTGTCAAATAGGTCCTCGAACTTTCATAAAAAGGTCAATTAAGTCCTTCTATAGGAGGTTCTGTCCGGCCGTCGCGATTTAAGGGCAGTTCCCGGTGGAATTTTTGATGAATTTTTTTTAGCATCTTATTCACCAAGTCTAGTTTACTCATACCAAATTTCAGCTAAAAATTCAATCGGGAACACATTCAAATTAATTCTTGAACATAACTGCGCATTTTTGTGTTCTCGAATTAATTTGAATGTGCTCCCGATTAAATTTTTAGCTGAAATTTGGTATGAGTAAACTAGACTTGATGAATAAGATGCTCAAAAAATTTCATCAAAAAATTCCACCGGGAACCGCCCCAAATCGCGACGACCGGACAGAGTCTCATATAGAAGGACTTAATTGACTTGTTTTATGAAAGTTCGAGGACCTATTTGACAGTTTTCCCTTTAGGTTACGTTTTCAAAAGTATGATGCTCCTATTATACTGTACTCCCTCCGTCCCATAAAATTCTTCCTACTTCCTTTTGTGCCGTCCCAAAAAATTCTTTTCACTTACCATTTTTGGACAATTTGTGTGGTTCACATTCATTTCACATTTTTTACACAACCATAATCATACATTTGCACTTTATTCCACTTTCTTAATCTCAGTGCCAAGTCAAACTGAGAAGAATTTTCTGAGACAGAGGGAGTAATATTATATACTTAGTGATACGTTTTGTTCTATCTTGCACGGATACGTCGATACACCGATACGCGAATACGGTTACATTGATACGACAACTTCAAAAATTATAAAATACAGATATGGGGTATATTTATAAATAATAATAATAATAATAACAATAATATAGGTTATAATTTGCAAATATGTATAATTCAGAGGTTCATAAAATAAAATAATAATAATATCAAACATTAACAATTACGAAGCATATTCGTCCTCGAAGGGCGGATTTGCTGTCATGGCTCGAGGAGATCGGCGTTGTGGTCAAGGTTCGAGGATGATGCGTTGCTGTCGTCGTTGGAGAAGATCGGCGCCGCCTATCCGTTTACTCTGGTTGCATGGGGCAGAGATGAGTTTGGTTATGCAGGGACGGAGGATTGATGCATGGCCTTTGGCAGCCAAAGGTCACGGAGTATCAATTATCATGGTACCGGTGGTAAGACCTCCTCCTGAACCACCACCATGAGATGTACGAGGTGCTAGAGTTCGTGAACGTTTTTCTTGTAGTTTTTATCGGTTTGTTATTTGTTTTCTTGTGTCCACTTTTGTTGTTGGTTTTGACAGTTTGTTTGAGTTTTTTGCCTCTCTTTATGTCATTGGGTATGGTTGGATCTATGGGAATAGGTTTGGCTGTGTCAAGTCCACTACATGGTTAGCGATTCGTGTTGCTCTCTCAGGGGTGACCGTCTCAAAGTCTCACCATAGGGTTACGGTCATAGTTGTTGAAGTTTCAGTTGGTGTCAGTTTTATTTTCCTTTTGCTTGATGTAATGATCCTGAATCTTTTGATATGAATAGAGGCTCCTTTGATGATGGAAAAAAAAACAATTAAGAAGCATAACTCACGCACCGAAACCATGGCGGCGAACACATCCCCTGGCCCACAACTCTGCACGATTTCATATTTAACTCCTGATCACTTATACTACGTAATTTCTTTCACGCAAGTAGCCTAAACCCCGCACCCAACATTTCTTCTTCCACTTCCGTTTTGATTCTTGTATACCCTTATTACCTTATATTTTGAATAAAATCCCTATTTCTCAAAAAAAAAAAAACGAAGCATAATAGAATTTCTAATATTAGACTTAAAAGCTAAAGTACTGATGAGACAATTTAAGTTTAAATAATATTTTTAATTTTCTATTTGCGTTTACATCTAAGTTTTTAACAAGACCGATTTCAATTAAAGCTCATTAAGCAAAATTTTTAACAAATTATAGTATTCCAATATTTTATAAATAGGTATAAATGGGGAATCTTATGTTGTGCTATTATTTTTGCTCTTGCTATGAAATTATTGTGACTTGTTCATTTTAAACTATGCAGTCAGTTTTAGCTTTGCATGCAGCACCCCAAACATAAACATTTGTTATCAAAATTGGAATTCACAATACCTCTGTTTTTAACCATTCTTGTCATGTAATATAGTATGCTTAAAATTTGTGTGTAATTTCAAATGAATCATTTATTTTAACCAATAATGTAACATTTCATTTAGTTAACAATACAAATAAAGTAGCATTGGGCATTTTCCTCTCGCGCATCGCGCGTAAGAAAACTAGTTATATTTATAGGACTAAAGACATTTAAGCCCATTCTTAATTTGTTGTAATTTGGTTCTTTTCATTTGATCTTTAATTTAATGCTATTAAGGGAATTTTTGAATGTTAATTACAAAGAGCATAGATAGGGGAGATCCTTTAAGCGATTCAATAGTAATAAATTTGAATATTCAAGATATCCATATACAAAACATTTCGAGATTTTCTTTATCATAAAAGAGCGGTCGTTATATTAAAATCGAGAACACATACAAGACAATCTTCAGACAAATTTACAGATCCAATCTTGAACCCCGACCTAAGAGTAGACTTAGAGTCAGGCAGCCAGCCAACTCATACAAAGCAACATGACTCGCTAAACCTGAAACGGGCAAAGTTAGGCCTAAAACGATTGAAACCGAAACTCTGCCTATCAAAAGAACTCCAAAAATCCAAACATTCAAACCAAATCTACTCGGACTAAAACAGAAACAAGTGATACTAAAGAGAAAATAATACTAAAATAAAATAGGAAAAATTGATAGTAATAATCCCAACTATTGGTGGTCCGCTTATAATAATCCCAACTGTCGATTATTTCAGAATAATCCCAACTTTAGGGACCTTCCGCCAATAATGGTCCCTATAAATAAATTCTTGTAGTTTCTAAAGTGGATGAGGAGAGATATAGCAAGTAATCCCTATAAATAATCTCAACTTTTAATTTTTACACATAGTTTCTATTTAAAATTCATTTTTTAGGAGGTAATATCTGGTCATGGACCATTATTGGCGGACGGTCCATATAGTTGGGATTATACAAAAATAATCAATAGTTGGGATTATTATCAACGGACCGGCAATAGTTGGGATTATTATTTTCAATTTTTCCAATAAAATATTCCCACAAATCTCTTCCTGGTATGGAGGTGGTTCTGGACTTCCGGAGGAGGACGAGCTCTTACAATATGGGTGGATACCAACTCCACCACCGTCGGAATCACCGACCATGGCTTCTCAATCCCGCCTCGATACAACCTCTCAGCTGTACCTCGTTCATTCGCCAACGCTATTTCCTCCGACGTAGTTGCAATCACAAGCGTTAGAACACTGAAAATCAGTATAATCTGCCGCTCCAACCCCATATTGATAGGGGCGACTGAAAATCTGAACCCCTAGAAAGAGGGGAGACGACCACTAGGGCTCCTCTCTCTAGAGATAATAGAGGACCATGTAACTTTTCTACATTTTGCGAACATTTTGAACTTTTTAAAACATCTATTTTGTTTTATATGATGTTATTTATTGAATTGAACTTATGTTATACTCCATTACATATGTTTAGGGGTATTTGGATCTGATTTTTAAAACTGCTTGTACTTCTTCAGGGAACAGAAGCAGAAATCAGAGTGTTTGGTTGAAAGTGCAGAAATGATTCTGGTGTTCTAATTTACTCCTAGAATCAATATTTTTAAAAGCTGGGGGAGACCAACTTCTGAAAACTAATTCTGATTCTGCTTCAACTTTAAAATAGAAGCAGAAGCAGAATTAGTTCCAAACACCCCTTACCGGAGTAACATCAACTTTAAATGTTATGGAAAATATATTCAAGGAATAGAAAAATATCGAGCAAATGGTCAGTTTGGTCCTCGAAGTTGCGTAAAAGGGATCAAATAAGTCCTTATATAGAAGATTCTGCCCGGACGTGCCATTTGAGGCGGTTCCCGGTGAATTTTTTTGATAAAATTTTTTGAACATCTTATTCATTAAGTCTAGTTTACTCATACCAAAGTTCAGTTAAAAATTCAATCGGGAAGGCATTCAAATGAATTCTTGAAGATAACTGCGCTTTTAACCGCACAATTATCTTCAAGAATTCATTTGAATATCTTCCCGATTGAATTGTTATCTGAATTTGATATAAATAAACTAGACTTAATAAATAAGATTCTCAAACAATTTTACTAAAAAATTCGTACCATTTACATTCGTTATTTAAAAAAAACTAGACTTAATAAACTGACCCTTTTCCACTCGTTATTTTAAAAAAAAAATCCATTCATTCAGTGATTCAGGTAAAAAAATGAATATTGGGGTTGATCGTCCTGAAGCATCGCAATACGAGAAGAGGAAGAAAGGATAACATGTCGGCTGAAGGAAATCACACAGACCATTTCAAGATATGGAGCGAATTGGAATTGCGGGAGTTCCCAGAAAAGTTCGTGATCCGTTCGCTGGAATCTCCTGATCGAGGCTTTTCCATCAGCCGCTCCGATGGAACGATCGAGAAGCTACACGGTTCGTTTCGTCGCTCCCTGAAGTCAAATAAAACTTTCGTTGTACACTGAGAAGTAGGAACTATGAAACATCATCACAAACATATGCAATGATGGTGATGCAGGGGATATGAATACTGGAAAACCTGCAAAGATAACTACAATATATGGAGTAGTGGGAACCATTAGGTTGCTAGCTGGTACTTCCTGAAACTCACCCATCTTATCATTAATTAATTTCATGATGCTTCTATATGGTTTCTAGCTAAATTTTTAAGATGCTACTTATGAAGAATGCATTGAGTAAGTTATTAGGAATAGGCGTTTGGCAGGTCTCCAAATGAAACTACGCAGTATATATTTATTTGTTGTCTGTTGAATCTTGTTAAAATCAGGACTTAAGCAGAAATAATCTCTAGTACTGGTTACTTAGGTGTTTATTTACATGTGTAATACTTGGTGCAGGAACACATATATTAGTTATAACTTCTCTGAAAGAAGTGGGAGCTTATCTCGGGTTTCCTGTTTATCGGGTGACATCCATGAAGTTTCTGTCTTGCAATGTGGCATCCAAAAATCTAAGCAGTGAAGAAGTCTGAAATGCTTCTCCTTTTCTATTTATTTATTGACTTATTTTATAAATGTGAGAGGAACCTTGTAAGTGTGCTAGCTGGTAAATCAGTAAATGATACTGTCGGTACCTTTCTGTGAGTTGCAGAAAAGAGATGAAGCATACTTCACAAATCTCTTGAAGGTTGTGGAAGCAACACCAGGACTTTATTTTTCGTATGAAACAGATGTGACGCTGAAGTAAGTCCATGGCTAACCTATCACCCGTTGGCCCTTATTAGTTGATAGCTATATTGGATATCAATAAATACTCGCCATTTGTATTTTTATGGTTCTGATATTCTTTACCAGCTTGCAGAGAAGATACAAATTGGCTAAAGGCTGGATGAGAAAACCAGTATGGAAACAGGTGCATATTTTATTGTTTTGTATTAACTAAGAGTATAACATGATATACTTTTATTGCACTAGTGACTAGTCTGAAGGAAGGTTCTCTAATTAAGTATTCAAAATATGTGAGAATTCTTTGATTAAATTTCAGGCCGACCCCAGGTTTGTTTGGAACAGGAATCTGCTGGATGAGCTAATTGAATACAAGGTTTGCTGCTGCCTATTTAAAGGAAAACATATAAAATTTGTTTTTTATTGTTGGCCTACACAGTAATTGAATAAATGCTGTTACTTGGGCAAAAAACATACTTATTGATTTCAAAAATACTACTTCCCTAAAAAGGAGTCTTATTTGAACAAGAGAAGCTAATTTTCACTGTATTTACTGCATTCTTTCAAAAAACGTGCTCCAAACAAGGTATGCGTGTTAAACTTAGTTAAACCAACACATAAATTCTAAAACACATCTAGAATTCATGATTTTTTATAGCTGTACCTTCCTAAAAATCAAAAGATTTAACTTGGTCAAATGTGTCTCAATTTTGGGACGAAGGTAGTTAATTTATTTGTTATTTTTTCATATTTTTATATGAAATGATCACTTTAAAACAACTATGATACTCATGGTATATGCATTCAATTTTGTGTGCCTAATTTACACTTGCTTTCCTTCATTTTTCCATTTCTCTTTTTACAGCTTGACGGGTTTATCATTCCACTAATACAAGGAAATATCCTTTATGCGCTTGTCCAGCTTCCTGACATACATTTCTTATCCACTTGATTTGAGAGGATCCAACTGTAGATCTATATTATTAAAGGTCAATTTCATTTTTGTGCCGGTTCCTTAACAATGCCATAAGCTTTCAAACTGCACAACTGAAGCTTGGGTGTTCACCAGCTACAGTAACATTGATATCAAGGAAGTGCACCCGACGTTTAGGTACAAATAAATGTCATTCTTTTAGGCTTAATATGTTTAGTCCCTTCAAATACAGTGCTTATTGTTTTACACCCCGCAAAATTATTTTTAATTTCGTCCCATAATTTCTGTTGCTATTCTTTTTAGTCCCTCACTCCCTCTGTTTCATACTACGTAACAAATAATAACAAATAACAACCTCTTTTTGACAACAAAACAATCTTGGCAAATAAATTTCCTATCATTCTTTGACATGTCATTCCAAAAATATGTAATTGTATTTTCTAGAATGTCCTTAAACCTATTTTTAAAAAATGTGAATGATTAGTTTTACATTGTGTCGTTCCAATACTACCTCCGTCCCTTAAAACTTTGCCAAAGTTGACCGGAACAGAGAATAATAAAGTAAAAACTGTGTGGTTGAGGTTTGTGCAAAGGAGAGAGAAATAACAGAAACCACTAAATATTGATTAAAAGGGAAAGCGGCAAAGTTTTTTGGGACGTCCCAAAAAGGAAAGATGGCAAAGTTTTAAGGGACGGAGGGAGTATTAGTCTCCAAGAAGTTATAAAATGATGAAATTAAAAGTTTCTAGTAGAGTTATGCAACCGTTATTTTTTTTCTTTTTCCAAATGGAGATTGTCTCGGAATTAGAGATGGACAAACAAGACAATAGTGTATATTACAAGGATGAAAAAAAATTATAATTTGCAGGGATCTAAACAAAATGTGTCATCTTTGCAGGGTTAGAAACGTATGTAAGCCTTCTTTTTATTGTGCCTGCATGTGTATTTCTTTGAGCTAATCTTTTCCCCCTCCCAACTATGATGACGTTCTGTCTAGGAACTAGAATGTGGAGAAGAGGAGCTAACCTAGAGGGTGACACAGCTAATTTCATTGAAACTGAGCAGTTCCTGGATTCTGGAAGTTTGAGGTCTTCATTTTTACAAGTATGCCATTTAAGTTCACTTGCTATTTAGATTTGTCACTGAGACATAAAAGTGAGTATCTTGCATTCCTAAAAGAGATGGCACCGTTCCAATGCAAAGCTGTGTCCATCTTTCCTTTTTCCTTGTAAAGAAAGAGAAAATAAAAGGTAACGTGCTATATAGTTTTGTCACTGAGACATAAAATTGGGTATCTTTCCCTCCTGAAAAAAGATACCCATGTTTCAATGCTGGGATGTATCCATTTCTTTTTTCTTTTTTCTTGAATATAAAAAGAAAATAAAACATAATTTTATTTGTGACGGTTTATACTACTCTCCAGGTGTAGATACATTTCCCTCTTCTGTGTGAGTATCTCAAGGATTCTGAAACTTTCACTTTTTCAGATTAGGGGATCAATTCCCCTCTTGTGGGAGCAAATTGTTGACTTGAGCTATAAACCACATCTAAACATTATTCATCATGAAGAAACAGTATGTACCCCTAAACCATGCTCTATGCTTTTGTTGTTCATTTGCTACTAGCAAAAAGAGACACTTTCTTCTTTCAGCCAAAGGTTGTTGAGCGCCATTATAATGATTTATCACAAAGATATGGAGCGATTGTAGCGGTAGACTTGACAGACAAGGTAAAAGAGTTTTAGATTTACTTTATGCTCAATTGAGTGGGGCATGGATAAAGCCCCCCCCCCCCCCCCCCTCCGCACTTCCCCCATATCCTGACATGGCTGACCCAATCTCATCGGTCTTTTGTCTGCAAATGTGCAACTAATGATAAATCGTTAGGAAAGACAAGTGCCTCAATGTATTGAAATGTCTTGTTTATTGTGATTTGCAGCATGGTGATGAGGGTAAAATAAGTGCAGCTTATGCTGCAGAAATGCAAAAGCTGTCAAATGTGAGGTGATACTAACACTCCAGTTCTATACCTACATTATCGAATGATTAATTTCTTCAATCATTAGACTATAACTTGGAGGGTAAGGCTGTGGAGAGTTTAGACTACATAATAATGATAAATATGATGTCTCTAAAATGAGTAAAATGTGATTGAATTGTTAATCTTTTAATTTTTATAGGACTAAGCTCTCTAAAGCTTTCTCATCCAAACCCCTCCATCCAAAGAGACTCTTAAGTCTCTAATGATAGAGTAAAATATGCAGCGCGTTTCAACTGCTAACTCATCATTCGTTGAATGTATCTCATGAGTGATGACTTGCCATTTTATCCATTTTGTAAATGGCGATGCAGCATTCAGCATTTTTCTTCAAGATAAAAAATGAGATTTGATATTATAAATTTTATATGTGCCATTTATTACTTTACTGTGTTGATACAGATACGTGTCTTTTGATTTTCATCACGTATGTGGGAGCTCGAACTTTGAGAATCTACAGCTTTTGTTTGACCAAATATCGGAGGATTTTGAGAAGCAAGGGTAATAAATGAAAGTCAATGTAGTTGGACATGTCCTCTGAGAGTACATGCCTCTATGTGGCTATGCTTGGTTTATCTGTAATATGGTTTTTAATATTTACCATTCCAGCTGAGCAGATATTTCTTGGTAGAAGATGGGAAGATACTAACAGAACAGAAAGGAATAATTAGATCAAACTGCATTGATTGCCTTGACCGAACAAACGTAACACAGGTTTGACGAAGCATTTGAATATGTTGTACTACATATATGTTTTTCTACCATATTACGTTAGGGAATGTTTGGATACCGGGAAATGCTAGGGATGAGGAAAATATGCTATGGAAAGTTATTTTCTTGTGTTTGATTTTACACATGAAATGCAAAGCGAAATGAAATATGATATTACGATTAATGTTTTTAAAATTGTTTACACGTGTTTACATTATTCAGTCTATATAATTTTAATGGATAAATAAAATGAGTTTAAACAAACTTCCATACTCCAACTGACACTTAAAGAGTTAAAGCTTTTGAGAATTTTTTTCCCTGTTAATTTAATGTCTCGTATCACATGCAGTGCTATCTGGCTAGGAAATCATTGAATTCTCAACTGCAGAGACTTGGAGCAATTTCATCCACTGATTGCATCTCTATGTTCCAAGAAGATTTTGAAATATATAAAACTTGTATAGATTACTGCTTGCTATTTTATACATTATTGAAGATGTGTTGTAGTGTATCTGTACTCAATCTGGCTCATTTATCTTTTCAGTGTGGGTGCAACAAGGTGATGAAATAAGTCTGGAATATTCTGGAACATTTGCCTTGAAAGGGGATCTTGTCAGGTAGTCTAACGCTTTGTTTGGATGAGGTGTGAAGAGGTGTAAGTAATGGAAGTGTTAGGAATTGTAGGTACAGTTAAGGAAGGTAAAGTAAGCGTCAAGTATAAATTTAACTTCTTTGGGAGAGTTAGAAAAAAGGAGTATTGGTAAAGGAAATGTTCTTATATAAGTTGACAAAACTGTCCATATGATTTTTAAATTAAATATGTGTGTATGCTAGAGGCGGCATTATTCATCTTCTTCCTTGGGGCAAAGCTACTAGGTCTAATCTCAAGGGTCATTCTCTCTCCTGCTTAGGGTTTCTCGCTTCATTGGTAGCCTTTTCAATTCGATAGACCCTGCTACAAGACGGTTAAGCAAGATTCGATCATTTGGAATATTTAATATTCCAACTTTCACATTTACCCAATTTAATAGGGTTTTTTAATACCTGATGTAAAAGTAGTTGAATATTCCTCATATGCCAATAAATCTATACTACACCTTTCAAATTTTCCCAATAATAAATAACTAAGTGAGAACAGAAAAATTAAATTGAGAAGTGTAATGGAATATCAAATATTGAACAGAAAAATAGGTGGATGGAATGTCAAATATTTAATCTGTATAAGGAGTAATGGAGTGTGCGGTGGATGAGAAGAAGACCACCAGCTGCATATACGAAGAGAAGACCAACTGCTGTAGTTGACTGATGAGAAGGGAAGTAGAAAGAAATCGGAGTTTTACTTTTTCTACGTAAATGTCTAACACCTCCTTACATTCCAAATTGGGGTGTTAACAATGTGAGCAATTGAGGTGTTGATGGTGTAATTCTTAGCACTTTCTAACACTTGTTAACACCCTTATTTTTTAAATTTCTCTTACAAACAAGTGTTAACCCCAACACTACTAACTAAACACTTCCTTTTCAACCCCCTCCCAGCACCCCATCCAAACCCAGCATAAGTGTCCATTATCAAGGGTTATTTGACATTGACAAAATTGGCTCAAGTTGCTGAATTTTGTTAAAGAAAGAAGCATTTGGTAACACACATTTCAGCCAAATAACTAAATTCAAAACCTAGCTCGATAAACAACTAAGCCACTTTTGACTGCCAAAGGGAGCTTAAGTTCAAGATTATACAAATTGAACTGGCTGGGTTTGCTGGGGGGGGGGGGTCTTGTGAGGTAGTCTAAGAGTCCATTTGTGGGGTTGTTTGGCTTAACTGGCTGAGTGTACTGAATTTTCAGAAAGAAAAAACGTTTGGTAGCATCTATTTGTGCCAAATAAGTAAATCCGAAAGCTACTTTTGACCCCCCAAATGGGGGCCTGAGTTCACGATTAGACAAACTGATTCGGTTATCATCATTGGCTTTGCTATGATCCGTTTAAACTCACAGATATGGGAAACAGACTGTGTTGGGACTAATTAGAGATGGAATGAGTGCCCTTTCGAGATACTTTTTAAATAATTTCCAGGATGGGGTTCGACAGGTATATTTTCCTACTGAAAATAAATATACATAATCTGTACTCTGTACAAGTTATTTATTGTCAGAGTTGACAGATTATTCTATGCTCTGTCAGGATGCTGTGGATCTTATTAGTGGCCGCTATACTATCAAAAGGGGACATCCTTCTCCTACTATTCACAATGGATTTGATTCCATCACTGTGAGCAATATATTGCTTTCCCTGTTTCAAGTAACCTTAGAGTGAAAAAATAAATGGAAGCAGCAAGTTGATCCTTCAAAAAAGCACTAAGCACTTAAATAGAAATGCAGTTAATTAAAATGCTCGTATACAGTCATCCATAAGTTTTCCAAAAGAGGCTGTTAGGTAACTTTCAATTTTCTTCCAATGACATAAGAATATGTTAAATTGCAGTATCTTCCAGTAGCATCTGCTCTTTTAATTGGAGGATTGACAGTGACCACCGTTACATTGAACCAAGGTCCCCACGTTCACCTATGGCTTTCATAATAAGAAAAGATTTCCTGTGTATATTATGGTTCATGACCTTCTAATGAATATTTAATTTAGATCTGGAATTTCACGTCACAGGGAGAAATGGGCAGAACTTATTGCCTTCAATACTTTGTGCTGGTGTCACTGCTGGGGTGATGGCAATGGTGAAAACGAACGGGAGACTGTTTTGTTCCAGGCCTCGATTATGTGGGCTTTTGTAAGATGCATTATTACTTTTGGAAATATTTGGTAATGCCTATTGTTGTGTGTCAAACATTTATGTGTGTCTTGCGTTTTGCCTTGCTTTTATGTGTATATTGGATGTCTGAGCTATACTGCAAATTTGGTTGTGATCTATTGCCTATTTTCTTATTTGATACTTCCTCCGTCTAGTGGTGTGTGGACACGTATCGTTCCGGGGCGACTGGTTTGGGTTTCTGCCCCCCCCCCCCCCCCCCCCCCCCCCGAAGACTAATTAAAATCCTTAAGAAAATGGCTGTTGGGTTTTAATGTGGAGAAACATGAACCTCGGCCTAAAGCTGGGGATGGACTGGCTCTGATAGAAGTAAAGATTCAGAAATTGAAACTGAAAATCTAAGTTAGTATAGCGGAAAAAGAAAACTAAGCACATGTTCTTCTCGTCCAAGTTTAAACTTGCTTAATAGCTATGCTATTACAACCGTGTCTTTGTTGGTGCTGTTTTGACTTGAGTAAATCCACTACATGTCTACATGCTACGGGTTCACAACTGGAGGATTCAGTCTAGTTTCTATTTAAAAATTTAACCCTATCCACTCCCAGTCTCCTATCAATCCAAGTTTGGAAATGAAGTTTGGAAATGAATTTGTAAATTGTAAATTTGTAACTACGAACAAACTCCCCCTGGAGTAAAAAAAAGAAACAGAAATCAGACAATGTTTTTTTTATAACCATTTTCAGTTTTTTTTTTACTTTTAGTTGCTTCCTAGAGAGAAAAAGGAACGGGGAAAGGATAGAATAATAAAAAAAATGGGCGTGAAATTAGTTTTGTTGAATGCACGGAGAGCTTGCAAAGTAGTTAGTTGCATTGTTTTTTTTTTAAATGAAAACTAGCCATAATATATTAATTCAAACAGTCATTAGCCGATTTTGAATACAATTAGGTGCATTAGAAAGAAATAAAACTCCATCCGGCTTAGAAAGAGCTTCCCTAGCTAATGTATGGGCTGCCCTATTCGCGGATCTCTTGCAATGCTTGACTTCAATACTTGCTCCGTTAAGGAGATTGTGTCTGATATCCTCAATCACGACATCCAAATAAGAATTTCCTTCATCACTCAGTAGCCTCGAGGAATCGAGGCTACTACTAAAGAATATGTTTCCAAAACCACTTGTGACCATCCCTGTTCTTTGACCCAACTCAATACCTCTCGGACACCTATGGCTTCGGCCAGATTTGAAGACCACCTGGCTGGCTGGCTGTGACCGACTGCCACCCGCCCTTGATAAAATGCCCCTCCGAATCTCTTGCTAACCAGCCCCATGCACACTTATTTCGTCCAATGTGCACAGTAGCATCTACGTTGACTTTCACCGTATCCGCCCGTGGTTTATTCCAAAAGTCTTCGGGTGATGAATTCTCTGAACTCGCAGTGGGCTCTTGTTGCTGTTGTGCAGCCCTCCAGCCTTGCAACACCGATGCACCGGTTGAAAGCAACTTGGCGCCCATCAAAACCCCGATGTTTACACACGACTTCATTACGACCTTTCCAAATACTCCAAAGGGTCGTTATAAACACACAAAGTTCATCAACCTGCAAGTTGTTAAAACAATCTTGGACCCAACTATTTAAAGAATCTCGCTGCCTTGAAAACCTGCTCCCCAATTTGGTCCAAACTTCTTTGCTTGCATTGCACTTAAGAAATAAATGAAGCTCTGTTTCGAGCTCATCTCCACACAAGCGACAATCCTCCAGTAGCTCCACCCTGCGTTTAATGAGATTGCTTGCAGTTGGTAGTTGCATTGTTATTGTTGATGAAATATAATATTACGGAGTAATATTGTTGTTGTTGTTGTTGTTGTTGTTGTTGTTATTATTATTATTATTATTATTATTATTATTATTATTATTATTATTATTATTATTATTATTATTATTATTATTATTATTATTATTATTATTATTATTATTATTATTATTATTATTATTATTATTATTATTATTATTATTATTATTATTATTATTATTATTATTATTATTATTATTATTATTATTATTATTATTATTATTATTATTATTATTATTATTATTATTATTATTATTATTATTATTATTATTATTATTATTATTATTATTATTATTATTATTATTATTATTATTATTATTATTATTATTATTATTATTATTATTATTATTATTATTATTATTATTATTATTATTATTATTATTATTATTATTATTATTATTATTATTATTATTATTATTATTATTATTATTATTATTATTATTATTATTATTATTATTATTATTATTATTATTATTATTATTATTATTATTATTATTATTATTATTATTATTATTATTATTATTATTATTATTATTATTATTATTATTATTATTATTATTATTATTATTATTATTATTATTATTATTATTATTATTATTATTATTATTATTATTATTATTATTATTATTATTATTATTATTATTATTATTATTATTATTATTATTATTATTATTATTATTATTATTATTATTATTATTATTATTATTATTATTATTATTATTATTATTATTATTATTATTATTATTATTATTATTATTATTATTATTATTATTATTATTATTATTATTATTATTATTATTATTATTATTATTATTATTATTATTATTATTATTATTATTATTAT